TATAAAAGCGAGAAAACAAACCCCGCTGCGCGGACTGCCCAGCGACTGTGGAACCGATCGTCTTCGTTGTGCCAATTCAACGGCATCAAACTGGTTCATCGTGTACTGTCCCTGTAATCACAAAATTACAAGCTTCTCGAACCAAAAACCTAGTAAATAGCTACAGAGGGAAAGCTTAAGCACCTCTTCGCGCAGGCTATTCCGCGAATGAGAAATCGATCGACGAGGCGCCGTATCATCCGCATCGAACTGATCCCTGCCGTATTGTTCCTGCAATCATAAAGTTATAAATTTCTCAAAAAAAAAGCCAAATAGGCAGATACAGAGTGAAATTGTACCCGAAGTGTTTTATGTTCTCATAACTGGCCTGTGAAAATTTCGGACGGGGAAATTGCTAAATCGGGAACCAGAGTAGTTGGAAAGCTGAAATTTTAAGTGGATACTCCTCGCCCGTGCATAACTTAAAGATTTCAAATTCAACCATAAAGTTATAAATTTTCCCCAAAAAAAAGCCAAATAAGCAGACACACAGCGAAAGCGTATGCCAGGTGTTTATGGTTCTCATGAATGGCCTGTGTGAAAACTTTGGACGGGGAAACTGCTAAATCGGGAACCAAAGTAGTTGGAAAGTTGAAATTTTAAGTGGATGCTCCTCGCCCGTGTACAACTTAAAGATTTCAAATTCAATCATAAAGCTATAAATTTCCCAAAAAAAGTTACACAGTGGAAGCGTACGCACCTTGCCTCGTTGATTTCCTCGTGACTGGGAAATTGATCGCTTTCGATGTGTCAGATCATCCGTGTCAAACTGATTCAAACTATACTGGTTCTGCAACCACAAAATTACAAGCTTCTCAAAATCAAAAGCCAAAAAATAGTTACAAAAAAAGAATAAACTCCTACCTCGTCGCACAGAATGCCTCGCGAACGAGAAACCGATCGACGAGGCGCCGTATCATCTGCACCAACTTGTTCTGGATTGTATTGTTCCTGCAATCACAAAGCTATAAATTTCTCAAAAAAAAAAAAAAAAAACCAAATAAGCAGATACATAGTGAAAGCGCACGTACCTCGTTTCCTCGCGATTGGGAAATCGATCGCTTTCGATACGCCAGATCGTCCGTGCCAAACTGATCCGAACTATACTGGTTCTGCAACCAAATAAGATTACAAGCTTCTCAAATCAAAAGCCACATAAAAAATAGTTATAAAGAAAAGAACAAACACCTACCTCATCGCGCAGAATGCCTCGTGAACGAGAAATCGATCGACGAGGCGCCATATCATCTCCACCAACTTGTTCCGGATTATACTGTTCCTGCAACCAAGAAGTTGCAAATTTCTCAAAATGAATGCTAAATAAGCAAATACACAGTGAAAGCGTATGCACCTCGCCGCGCTGACTTTCACGCGACTGAGAAATCGATCGTTTTCGAGGTGTCCGATCATCCGTGTCAAACTGATTCAAACTGTACTGTTTCTGCAGCCATAACAATGCAAGCTTCTCAAATCAAAAGCCACATAAATGGCTGGCGCATTGACAGCCGGTGCGAAGATGCGTTTTTTGCACAGTTCGCTGCAGATTTTTGTCGCTAACAACTGTTTTTCCGGCAGATCTTCTAGCTAAGAGAGTTGAGATTGGCCACCGGGGCTGTTTGAAAACATTTCCTAAAATTATCAGCTTTCTAGCTTTCCCGGTTCCCGCGTTAGCGACTTACCCGCCGGAAAATTTGACAGACTTCCCAAATTGGTACATGCATGCAGATTAAGTTCCCAAAATTTCAGCCCTGTAGCTTTTATAGGTTTTTTCGGAATGAAAAATCGGTAGAGGCGCACACACAGACTGCAGACACACACAACCAACTCCTCTTCAATATGAGGATTTCACGTTGCACAGATGTAAAAAATTGGCCAACGCACGGGCTGCCCGTGCGAAGATGCGTTTTTTGCAGAGTTCCCCGCA